CTGTCCAGCCCTCCTCTTGTCTTTTGGCCCCCAGCGCAGGGAACTGGGAGAAAACCAGTCCTTGGTTTGGGAACTGGGATTGCGCAGGAGAAGGGCCGCGGGGTTTTCTTCCTGGCGGACTCCGACTCCGTCTGCGCTGCAGACGTAAAGCAGTTTGACAGCGCTTTAACTGCCACGGCTCCATCCTACTGAATCCTGGGGTTCGGAGTTTGGTGAGGCACCAGCACTTTTGGGGAGAGAAAGCTGAAGACCTTGTAAAACTACAAATCCCAAGATTCTATAGGATGGAGCTACCGCACTTAAAGTGGTGTCAAACTGCGTTATTTCTGCAGTGCAGATGAACCGTCAGAATGGTCCGAATCGGGATCTCTAATAAGCCACCTTGAATCCCATTGTGGGAGAAAAGCGGGATATAAATCTTTGAAATAAAGAAATGATAAAGACATATTTTGGAAATATCATTGGAAGTGGCTGCAGAGCATAAATCGGAGAAGACATCATTTAAACATTTTTAAAAAATTAAAAGTAGTAAGCATCTTTCTTTTTGGGTCGTGTCTGTACCTGCCTTCGAGTCGACTGTTTGAGTGTTGGAATAAGACTCTGGAGATCTGGGTTCGAATCCCAGCTCTCCATGGAAACCCACTGGGCGACCTTGGGCAAGTCACACTCTCTCAGCCTCAGAGGAAGACAAAGGCAAATCTCTTCTGGACACACCTTGGCAAGAAAAAAACCCAGGCTAGGTTTGCCATAAGTCGGAAACAGAGGCACACAACAGCTTCTTAGGTAAGGAACCCTCTGAAGTGTTTTTTGCCAGTTCTTTCTTCTGAAATAGAGCTTGCAACACCTGGGATTCGTTGGCGGTCTCCCATCCAAGTGCTAACCAGGGTTGACCCTCCTTAGCTTCCAAGATCAGAAGGGATCTGGTGCCTGGAGGGTATTTAGACCTTAAATTCTTCAAAGGCTGTGTGTATTTGCCTTCAAGTGGACAGTTCACTAATTAATAATAATAATAATAATAATAATAATAATAATAATAATAATATTTATTTGTATACCACCCAATGGTTTCCCAATCCGGGCGGTTAACAGCATAAAACCAGTACAAAAACACATCCCTCCCACCCTTAAAACAGCATTAAACAATTTCTATTTAAAATCAAATAACAACAGTACTAAAATCAATTAATTACAGTTTCAGCAACCCCTTGAGATATTTCAGTTTGATAGTAATCCCATGAATTTCCTAGGGCTTTCTTAGCCAAGGAATCCTCACAGGTGTTTTCTCTGTATTTCAGCCTCCAGGACCTGGGATTCCTTGGTGGTCTCCCATCCAAATACTAACCAGGGCTGACCCTGCTTAGCTTCCAAAATCGGATGGGATTTGGTGCCTTGAGAGTATTTTAG